GCCCTCACAGGCGCATTAGAGCTTGCAGGAAGGGGCCAGTAACCTGGCAGGAAACCCTGGGACAGCAACAGGACACGCTCTAGAAGCATAGCTCCCTGGTTAGCAGAGAGGACGATCCCGAAGGAAAACAGGAAAATGATGGCTTTGATAAAAAAATGACTCAAGAGAGCCCTGGCCGATAGCTCAGCGGTTAGAGCGTCTGTCCATGCACTGAAGGGTTTCAGGTTTGATTCCCAGTCAAGGGCATCTACATGGGTTGCAGGTTCCATCCCTGGCCCAGTTGGGGCATTCAAGGGAGGCAACCAATCCGTGTGTCTCTCTCACACTGATGTCTCTCTCTCTCCCCTCCCTCCCTTCCTTCCTCTCTCTCAGAAAATCAATGGGAAAAAATGTCCTCCGGTGAGGATTAAAAACAACAACAACAACAAAATGATTCTCTTTCCCCTATTTTCTCTTTCATGTAAGCACAAAAATGCTATATGATCAAACTTGTATCTAAATCTCAAAGAGCTCTTTTAATCAGAAATGAAAATGCCATCGGCAAGGAAGCACAGTCCTGGTTTGATTGGCAGTTTTTCCTCTTCTTTGTTAGTGATACATAAAATAATGCTTCAGTCTTATCACTCAAAGCATCTTGGATTCGATGTGATAAATAAAGAGGTGGTCAGAGATGTTGCCGGACCCCTCAGGGAGAAGGGAGGTGTGGGTTTGAAGAGGTGTGAGGGGTGTCCGTGGCTTCAGGGAGGACCAAGGGCAAGGGATGGCCTTTTTTTTTTTTTTTTTTTTTTTTTTTTTAACAGTAACCCACAACCTTCAGACCAACTCAAGGGATGGCCTTTGACACGTGGGAGGTCGCCTTTGAATTCTAGGGTTCTGTGGGTGGGGCTTTTGCTTTCAGTTCATTGGCTTTGACCAGCAGGTATTTTCAAATGCCAGGCACTGTATTTGGATACAACCAGGGAAGACCTAGCGACCTCTCTCCAATGAGCTCACGGTTCAGAAGGGAGGCAACAAGCGAAATGCTGGTTGTGAGGCACTAAGCTAGCTGTTTTGGGTGTGTGTGTGCGTGTAGGGGGGTGATGGATAAGGCCCGTAGGGGCAAACCCAAAGGAGCAGGTGAGCTTACCTGGGAAGAGAGAAGGGAAGAGGGAAGTGTGAGGCCTGAGGCTGAAGGATGTAGAAGAGTTTGCCAGGAGGAGTTCCAGGTAGAGGGAGGGCTGAGGGCAGGGGCCTCCAATCTGGGGGCCTGTGAAGGGGGAAATTAGGGTGGACTGGTCAGAGGTGGCCAGATCACAAAGGTAGGCTCTGCCCTGGGGGTTAGATGTCATTCTTGACACAATGAGGAACAGTGGGACGATTTCTTAAATGTACATTTTAAATTAATTTCTAATTTTGTCAAAATAAGACGTGCACACAAGTTTAAGAAGGAAATGGCAGTGTAAATTTGACAATGAAAAATAACTGTCTCTGGTCCTAGCCATCCTCTCTCCTCCCTCCATGATCCAGAATTAGCCATTTAAAAGTTCTCTTTCGCCTAGCCGGTATGGCTCAGTTTATCTTCAAAAAACCCCTGTATTTATGCCATTGACCATGACCCTGTCCTACTGTCCCATGCACCAGGAGGTCTGCTGCTGAGTCTTCAACACCCGAGGCTTTCTGAGGTTCTACAGGACAAAGGGCTTAGTTCTTTTTCTTTTTAAAATATGTTGTTATTGATTTCAGAGAGGAAGGGAGAGGGAGAGAGAGATAGAAACATCAATGATGAGAGAGAATCATTGATTGGCTGCCTCCTGCATTCCCTGCAAGGGGGATCAAGCCCTCAACATGGGCATGTGCCCTGACTGGAATTAAACCATGACCTCCCAGTTCATAGGTTGACACTCAACCACTGAGCCACACCAGCTGGGCCTTAGTTCTTATCTGGATCCCCCTCCTTAGCGACTTTGGTTTCTACTTCCTCCATTCTTCTGTGACAGTTCTCACTCAGGTACTGCCCGTTTCAGTGTTCCATGAAGAACCAGAGGTCCCTTGCCCAACCGGGTTTGGTTCAATGGATTGAGCATCAGCCTGCAGATTGAAGGGTCCTGGGTTTGATTCCAGCCAAGGGCACATGCCTAGTTCCGGGCTTGATCCCTCGTGTGGGGCATGCGGAAGGCAGTCGATCCATGATTCTCTCTCATCGTGGATGTTTCTATCTTTCTCTCCCTCTCCCTTCCTCTCTGAAATTAACGATAATAATAAAAAAGAACCAGAGGTCCCTTGAGGGATCTAGCACAGGAGAGTTATTAATGTGCCACCATAGGCCAAGTGGAAGGGAGATGGAGACAGAGGAGGCTAGCACATTAGAAGGTGAGGCAAGAGATGCTGAGCATTGAAACCAGCCAAGGCAGAGGGGAAGGAGGGAGGAAATATCGGGGGAGTGGGATAAAAAGGCTCTTAGAAATATCCCGGATGCCACCTCAGTGTCTGACCTGGTGATGGGTGGCCAGTGGCCCCTTTGCTAAGATGAGCACAGTAAGAGGAACTTGCTGGATGAGGATGGGTGTCGTGTGAGGAGCCTAAGGGACTTGCAGGTGGAAATAAGCAGCAGGTAGATGGGTAGTGGTGTGAAGCACCGGTAGAAAGTCTAGCTGCCCATCCTTACCAGCTCCCGGAGAGCCGAAGCTCGTAGCAGGAATGAGATAATGCAATCAGGGGGGGGAGGAGGAGGGGGGAAGGAGGAGGGGAGGGAGGAGAGCTGAGGACAGTGGACCACACAGAGGGGAAGGGATAGTCTCTGGCCCCCAGGAGTGAGATGGAGAAGGGAGTGGAACCTGCCAGCCTAGCCTGCTCACGCCCACAGTTTAACATGTGTCCATTCAGACTCTGGGGTTTGCCAGCATCCCTGGCAGCCATTTACCTAAGCTCAACAGCCCCGTCCCTGAGCTCCAAGAAAGGGCGGCTGCCCCTGCCCTTGTTCAAGGACAGAAGCTGATGGCGCTGGCTTTCCGGCTCTTGGGGAGCAGGATCAGAGAGTGGATGGTGGCAACTTCCCCTCTGCCGCAAGGTAACAGAAATCCAGGTCAGGCTGTGGGCTTGCCTGCCGCCCTCCCACAGGCACACGGCATCGGCTCTGAGGTCCAGCTGTGGGAGGCCCGACGTAATGCTCTCAGGTGTCGGAATGGGTGGCTCGCTTCAGGTGACACTGAGCAAAGACTCCCCCAGAGCCTTTGGCTTGTGTGCACCCCGGCAGCCCTGCCGAGATGGAAATAGCCTGGTGACCTTGAACGCGTGCCGCCGTGTGCGGGCATCACGCCGCCTTTATGTGCTTGCTGTCACCGAATCCGCACAGTTTTATGAGCTGGTACCTGTGCCCCTTTAACCGATGAGGAAACAGAGAGGTTAAGGGACTTGCCTGCCTGCAGTGGAGTCTGCATGTGTCTGTAGTGGGTACACTTCCAAGTTAGAACCCTGAAATGTTTTATTTGTTTGTTTTTAATGTAAATTCTTTGTTGTTGAAAGTATTGCACATATCTCCTGTTTCCCCACTGATCCCACCCCCCAGCACATGCCTTTGCCCCCACACTGTCTGTATCCATGGGTTATGCTTCATGCGTACAAGTCCTTTGGGAGAACCCTGAATTTATGCCGTTTGACCATGACCCTGTCCTATGAGAGCCCCCTCCCCAAACCTGCCACACCTGAGCTTGGGGGGTGGTGATGATGATATGCGTGTGTATATGTGAGTGTGTGTGTGTGTGTGTGTGTGTGTGTGTGTGTGTGTGTATGAGAGAGAGAGAGAGAGAGACAGAGACAGAGAGAGAGAGAGAAAGACAGAGAGACTTCTCCGTCCTCCGGAGCTCTCCTAGACTGCCCTCAAGAGACCACGGGAATTCCGATGAATTAATCTCATCACTTTATCGAGGAGGCACTTACAGAAATTACAAGGCCACCAGCCTGGCTTTGCTGGCAGTCAGCCTCTGGGGCCATAAAACAAATTGAAAGGAACAAAAATAAATAAATAAAGTTAGAAAACTCTCTCTCTCTCTCCTCTCTCTCTCTCTCTCTCTCTCTCTCTCTCTCTCACACACACACACACACACACACACACAGAGAGAGAGAGAGAGAGAGAGAGAGAGAGAGAGAGAGAGAGAGAGAGAGAGAGGGGCCTGGATCACTCAGTTTCAGGAACTGGTAAGGATGCAAAGCAGCAGGGGTTGAGGCTGGAGCCAGGGGTGGGCGGGGCCAGATTCTACAGAGCTTTAAGCCTGGGTAGACTTGGGTAAATTAGTTTAAGTATAGAGCTTATTTTTTTTTTAATTTTATCATCTTATCAAATATTGAAATTGTTTCCCAAGAAGCCAGAGTGACTAAAGAAACAGATAAGGTTTAGGCAGCAGAGAGGGGCACATGGAATCTTAATTCCTTCCCTTCCTGTCCTCTCGCATCCCAGCTTGCTGCCTGCAGGAAATGGGATGGGAAAGGTGTGGGCGTGTGTATATGTGAGTGTGAGTGTGTGTGTGTGTGAAACAGCCTCTTCGAGCCTGTTTCCTCACCTTAGAATGGGGGTAGGAGCACTCACCCAGCCACTGTGAGTACTCAATATCCAGTCAGGCACGATGTCCTTGGGATTCAATCGTTTCATTACTTCCAAGCACTTTGTGGTGGTGGAACCTGGCTCCTGGCCGTTTTCAGAAAAACCCATAGAAAGTGAGTTCCATGTGCCACTGGGGAGCCTGAGGTACATGGAAGCCTGAGGAACCCCGCAGGGAGCTCTCAGGTCCCAGCTCAGTGGGTGACCGTTCTTCAAAGCTGTGGTGCCTGGCCCACCCAGACTCGGGAACGGGGGTCTCTGTATTTAAGAGAGTTGGAAACAGTTTGGCAAGTACCTCAGAGCACCTACTCAGAACCATTGCCCTGTGGGAGCCTCGGTGTGGTGGGCAGGGTAGGTCTGGCCTCTGGCTGGCGGGTGGGGGGCCCCCCGACATAGCACCTGGCAACCTGTCTGTGTCTGCTTCCAGGGAACATCGAGTACAGCTGCCCGGCCACCAACGAGTGTGAGATCACCAAGCGGAGGCGGAAGTCCTGCCAGGCCTGCCGCTTTATGAAATGCCTCAAAGTGGGGATGCTGAAGGAAGGTAAGAGCCCGCCCGCCAAGGCTCACCGGGAGTCTCAGGGTACCCGCAAGCTGTGGATAGCTCCAGGCCAGCGCATGTGCACACGGCTCCAGGGGTCCCCAGACCCTAGAAGTCCCTCTGTGCATCCCAAGTTAAGACCTGCTCCCTGGAGTGCCCATCCTTCCTTTGTCACACACCCTATAAGCAGGCTTGCGGCCTCCAGCCCCCGCCTAGCTCTCCACTCCTAAAAGATTTGGGGGCACCAACCTGGCTCAGTGGTGGAGCATCAACCTATGAACCAGGAGATGGTGGTTTGATTCCCGATTGGAGCACACGCCTGGGGTCCAGCCTGGAGAGGCCCTTCCAGGAGCTCTGCCTGGAGGAGGAAGGGCGGCCACCAGAGCACGGCCCTCCCCACCGCTTCCCAGCACTGGCACTTCTGAGCCCAGTGGGGGAAAGATGCCACAGAGGCTCCTTGTTTGGACAAAGCTGAGCGCCGCTGTTTCCTGTCCCCTCTCTCAGTGCAGAGCCTTGGGGAGACCCTGGGATCTGCAGCTCCACGGGGACTCGCCCCCTCAGGAGGTGTGTGCCTCACCGAGGAGCCTTGCCAGGCAGGGCTCTTGGCAGCTGCCCTGCTCCTGCTTTTGTTTGGGTGTCTCCCCAACACTCCCCCCCGCCCCCCCACAAACCCCCTCTCCTCACTTGCCTCCTGTGCAGGAGCCCAGACCCCCCGCCTCCTTCTGTTTCCCTCTGGCTCTGACCTGACTCTGAAAGGCAAGCGCCAGCCTTTGCGGGGGCTGCTCCACTCTCTAAGATCCCACAGCAGGCCTCGGGCTTGGGGATGGTGTGGCGCTGGGGTCCTGGGTCCTGGGAGAGAGGTTCTGGGGAAGAGGAGAATGTGGATGTCAGTCTCCCCTTCTTCCCCATCTCACCTACACATCTGAACCCTGTTCCCATCCTCCATGCTGCAGCTCTGGATGCCTTTTACAGGGATCCCTTTTTTTTTCCACTTTAATTTACTTTAAATTATATTTTTATTGATTTCAGAGAGGAAGGGAGGAGAGAGATAGAAACATTAATGATAGAGAAGCATTGATTGGCTGCCTCCTGCACGCCCCCTACTGGGGATTGAGCCTGCAAACCAGGCATGTACCATGACCAGGACTCAAACTGTGATCTCCTGGCTCATAGGTCAACTGACGCTCAACTACAGATCCATGTGGCTAGGCCCTTTCTTTTCTAAAAAAGAAAGTGAGGACTCAAGGACATGCTTAGAGGGGGAGAGGAGCATTGATGTGAGAAACATTGACCAGCTGTTTCTCCAAACGTGCAGCCACCAGGAGTGGAACCTGCATGTGCCTTTACGATGAAGGGGGTGGGGCAGTAGCTGCTGGGAGAGGTCAGGTCGGGTTCTGTTGGCTCAGCCTCTACCTGGAGGCTGCTGTTGGCTCTGGAACCCATGACAGTGGAATGTGGGTGATGTCCAGGGTTTGGTCTTGCTTTAAGCAAACACAGGGCATAAAAATCCGTATTTTCATGGGGAAAAAGTGATTATTTTCTTTATAAAGAATTGAATACAGACTCTGCACCAGGTTAGGAGTTGGTGCTGTGTCCTCCTCCTGGCTCTGGGGAATTCTTGATGTTCATATTATTCTCATTCGGGCTTCCATTTCTTCACCTGTAGAGCAGGGATGTTGAAACCGGCTCTCGAGCCCTAACCAGTTTGGCTCAGTGGATAGAGCATTGTCCTGCAGACCAAAGGCTCCCAGGTTTGATTCTGGTCAAGGGCACATACCTCGGTTGTAGGCTCCTCCCCAGCCCAGGGCCTGGTTGGGATGCGTGCAGGAGGCAACCAATCAATATGCTTCTCTTACATAGATATTTCTTGGTCTTTCCCTCTCTCTTCCACGCTCCCAAAAAATCAATGGGAAAATATCCTCAGGGGAGGATTAAAAGAAAAAGAATCTGACTCTCCATCCCAGAGGCAAGTCAAGGTGGGGACCACGTGGACAACTCCTTGGTGAAATGCACTGTAGGATTGCTTTAAGATGTCAGCTTCCTGGGCCTGTTGTAATAGTGTTTGACTCAAGGATAGTCTCGTTTGCACTCAACTTTTCAGCGGCCTTCCCATTGTGTGGGTTGGCTGGGGGCTCTGAGAGGAGGCATCTGTCTTGGGTTGGCCTCTTGTCTGGGGTCTAAAATCAGGATAAGGGGTTTCCCTGGGAAGCCAGTGAGGCTCTTCCCCATAGGCCTGACAGCCTCTAAGCCAGTAGAACTTGGAAAAATATTAGCTGCATTTCACAGGGTCTCCCAAGTCCTTAGCACAGCTCTGGGCTTTCAGAAATCCTCCCTAGACAGCTTGTCTCTGCAAACTTCTCCTCACCTCCCGTCTCCCCCCAGCCCCCAGCCCCCCAGTCCCACTCCATTTCCTCCTCCCATCAGCTCCTGCCTGCCTTTCCCCAAGTGTTTTCTAAAAGATATTTGATTTCAGTGAAAGCTAGGCTGACATCGATGCAATGTGCTCTCACCCTTTGTGCTGGTTGGAAGGCGAGGGCTCCTCCGGGGACTCTGGGTAATTGGGTTAGTGGCCAGCTCATGTCAGGAAATTAAAAGGAGGCCCCGATCAGGTTCCCGCTGCATGGGATTTAATGGCTTTGTATTTATAGAGTATTCTGCCTCTAGCCCATGCCAGAAGTACCACTTTTCTGGCCCTTTGAATGAAGAAAAAGGATGCAAGATGGCTTACCTTTAAACATGCTTTTTCTTTTCCAAAATACATTCATGTTATGAAACAAACTGCCTCTCCTGCATTTCAGAGAATAGCTTTGAACTAGAGCCGGAGATCTCGGATATATGTTTGTATCCTCCGACCACTTTCTATCCTACGTACACACACACACTCACACATGCACACATGCGTGCATATACACATATGTCTGATGGCTCACAAGATCATCCCAGTGGCTTGAAGCCTCTGGGTCACTCAGGCACGATGACCTGTGACCTCTGGCCAGGAAAGTGTGGATGGAAAGGAGTGCAGGGGATGGTCTTATCTGTGCTGAGTCCTTATTACTGCTCATTCAGGCTCTCTGTTTCAAGCATTGGGTACCAGGATTAGGGGCCATACAGACCCAGGAAAACCCTAGTACCGTGTTTCCCCGAAAATAAGACCTAGCGCAACTTTGGGAGAAAAAATTAATATAAGACACTGTCTTATTTTCGGGGAAACAGGGTATCACCATGTATCAGCTCAGCAGGCAATTTACTTATGACTCTTTAAGCCTCCCCCTCCTCCTCTGTAAAACGGGAATAATAATGGCCTTTTGAATCTTGCTCCCACTTTACAACGACAGCCCCTAGAGTTGTGCCACAAAGCAGGGTGTTGGTCATTGGTTTGAGATAGGTACCCTTCATCCTGTTATAAAGTTGGTTTTCCTCTGTGATCCAGAGGCACTGTTGACTCTCACAGCCTTTCTCCCCACTCCTTGAATGATGACCTTCCTTCACATTTTCCTGAAAAAATAAAATAGAAGCAGTCACGTGGGGAATTTCTTACCCTTCTGCTATTGAATCCACAAACCAACCTGCTTGTTTTCTGCATTCACTCCTGTTAGAGCCAGCTCTGCTCCTATCAGAAGCCATTCCACCACCTGTGCTCCAAATCCCTCTTCTTTATCAAGGACTTCACTCCTAGAGCAGCATCTCTGCTTCCAGCACCATCGCACTCTGCCTCACTCACAAGTGGCTCATTTTCTTTTTTAATATATATTTTTATTGATTTCAGAGAGGCAGGGAAAGGGAGAGAGAGACAGAAACATAAATGATGAGAGATAATCATTGATTGGCTGCTTCCTGCACGGCCCCTACTGGGGATCGAACCCAAAACCCAGGCATATGCTCTTGACTGGAATTGAACCTGGAACCCTTCAGTCCTCGGGCTGATGCTCTAACCACTGAGCCAAACTGGCTAGGGCGAGTGGCTCATTTTCATCAACACACAATCTCCTATACTTTGGTTCTCCTATTTTGAAAACAAAATTAAAATGCATAACTGTATTTTGAGTCTTTATCTCCATCCTACTACTGTTTCATTACTCCGCTCCCTTCTCAACAAAACTTTCCCAGGGAAGTTGTCAGATTTACTATATCTGCTTCCTTACCCCAAAAAGTAAACAATGAGTAGATCCAGAAAAATATTTATAATACTGCACATTATATGAGGGTAAGGCTAAGCTTCTGAGAGAGAGGCACTGCTTTCCTCCCTCAAAAACCAAAACAAACAAACCAGAAACTTTGGCTGATAAAAGTTTAGTTCTCTCTCATCTCTCATGTGACAGTCAACAGTCAGAGGTTTTCCAGGATTGATTGGCAGCTTGGCCATCCTTAGCAATTGGCTTCCATGTGTGGACCCAGTCCTCCATCGAGAGCCAGATCATTCAAAGGGCAGGACTCAGAAGGGGCACATGGCCCTTTCATTCACAATCCATTGGAGAACCTGGTCACATGGCCATACTGCTCTGCAAAGAATTCTGGGAATTGTAGTCACTAACTGGGATACCATGTGCCCAGTTAAAATTCTTGATATGGAAGAGGGAATAACATTTTAGAGGACAAGCATTGTTAAACTGTTTTTGACTTAATTATACTGATTTACCACATGAGTTCAGATGTTCTGGTTGCTCCATACACTCACCCTTTTTACATTTTTTGCTGGTGAGTGTAAAGTGGTGTCTTCTTACTGCTTTGATACATATTTTCTCGACTATGAGATAAGCATATTTTACATGTTTATTGGCCACTTGGGATTCCTTTTCTGAGAGGGGCTTATCCAAGCCTTTCCCTATTTTTATAGTTTCTTTTCTGTTTGTTTGTTTGCTTGTTTATTAATAGTTGTAGAAATATTTACATATTCTGGTCATTTTCTAAGGCCTTTTCAGTTGTTAGCATTGTAAAAATCTCATTTGTCACTCCTTTCTCTTTATGGAGTTCCATGATGAACAGAAATTAGTTATTTTCTTAAA